CCTCACAAAGGGCAAATTTGACAAACTGATTACAAATGTAAATTTTTGCTTCTAACAAGCCTTACAAAATTAGAGATCCATTTTGTTAATGTGAAATTAAATACAAATGTTTTATTAAACTAAAAAGTTCAATGAGTATTTAGACGCAATACGCTAGTTCAGAAAACTTGAGAATACTACCATTGTCTGCCAAAATAATCTACTACTGTTCAATAAAAATGGTGAAGTTCATCTTAAATTTAATAAGCCCTAATTTTAAATCAAACTATTTTAGATTTGGTTTTATTATCTACATATTTGCATACAGATTTCCAGGAATTTATTCTGAATTCTACCTGTGTCAGTGGCAAGAGATGCATCATATGTCTATCTGTAACAATATGGACAATATCTGTTTTTCTATCTTATCTTTTAAAAATTGAAATGCTGACATGAAAGAATTATAAACCCTATCAAATATATACCTACACCAGTTTTTAAAGAAAAAAAAAAAAGCATTCAGCACAGCAAACAAAGCCTGACCTGCGCTCATGACAGCAGGTGGTGAGTGTCTTTGTGATCCTGGAGCCTATTAGCATGATCTCCTTCAGTGGCTGGATGAATAGGGACCTTCCTTTCAGAAGCCACAGTGAGTTTCACAAAAGCTTCTGTGCAGAGGAGGGCTGGAATGAATCCAGAGTCATGCAGCTTTCACTAACCCACTGATCCTTTCTTTGGCTCCCCATCTCTACTGCCTACCTACCTCTCCCTGTCTCCCTGAGACTTGTTTCCCAGTCTAGTCTCATTTCCCACAGACAAAGACAACAATGAAGATTATAAAAGTATCCTACAGAAATGTACTGAAATGGGCCATGAGTGGAGAGCTCCTTGGTGTGACTAGGAGTTGCACTCACAGAAAATTCTGCAGAAAATTCAAGAACTTTGGCTAATGATTAGGCACCAAATTTGTACCAACTCTGAGTCATGCTAGTCCTGGGATTTTATCAGGCCAGGGAATGTCCTCACACGTACCCTTCCAAATCGTTCAGAAGCACAAGAGCTTCCAGAGCTGAAGAACCAAGGAGACCACCTCCTCATTATGTTTTCTTGTGGGAGTGGGAAAAATTATCTTAGAGAGCAGGAAGTGTAAGTGGAATAACAATAAAAATCCTATTTCTCCCAAATAGGTTTACAAGGTAAGTACTTTTTTCTGTAATGATTCTTGGAGTTTCCCTACTTGCTGAGGTCACAAAAGTAGCCAAGTGAACTCATTCAGAAAGCCATTTCCAGTTGACCAAGTCTATTGAAAACCTAGGTCCAGCCAAAGCGTATGATTTCAGTGTTGGAAGAAACAGCCCTCTCAAAAAGTTCAGCTGCCCAAGAAAACAATTAGGAAAAAGGACGCTGAGTTCTAACCAGAAAGATGGGTAATGACATAATGAGAGGCAAATTTGTAAGGATGTGTAATAACTTTCAGTAAATAATCAGATTGAGCTGAAAAACTGGGCAAAATTCTGTTCATATGTGTCTTTTCCATGGAAAGAAAATGCTAGTTTTATTTTATCAATGACTGTTGAGGAGTACAAAACCAGAAACAAATGCCACCCATGTTGACAATGTAGAGAGAAATATCAGAACTCATATGATGTTTGCCAGACAGTCAAGTTCTGGGTGATAGTTTGCAATTAAAGAATGTGGTGGAGAGGAATGGAAAGTAATACACTGTGCATATTTTTTAAGAAATCAAGAAAAACATAGACAACTAGAATACACATTAAATATAGTAAAGGGTAGTGAAGCACCAGGTTGACAAGGCACCTTTCAAACTAATCCTAGGAATAAAATAATACTGAAAGATTTGATTGGAAAAACTTATGTATCTCTCTTTCTCTCTGTCTATAGACCCTTATACTCCTAACCCCACAAACTGAAATAGCACCCCTACTTCTTTTCTCATAACGTCATACTTCTTTTTCCAAAACCCAACATAGGGTTGTGGATAAACAGTCAACTGACACTCACATCATCAAGACAATGATAGTTCTAGGAGAACAGATAAGTGCCAGTCTCCAGAAATAGCCTTTCCAATTTTATATTTACACAGCTATTGCAAACCTCTCTTCTTCCTCCAGTGTCATGGCCCCCCCAACAGTTAACAAAGCCTTTCTTACATCCAGATTGAATTGCTGTAATTTATTCTCCATGATGCTACCCTTGAAGACTGCTTTAAAACACTAGCTCCAGCAGAAAACAACTGCCCTTGATTTTATAGTCCCAGCCTTGGAAAAGACATTACGCTTGTTTTCAGAGATTTGCACCCTCTCACAGGTGACACTCAAGCTGTTTCCATTGTCCTAGAAAGACTCACGAAATTCTGCTTGGATCTGAGATTGCCAAGAGCTTGCTTCTCCTGAAAGCTGGTATGTACACTACTTAAGACAGTATTTTGAAGGCCTAAGTAGCATACTGTCTTGCTCTTGACTGAGGCTGTTAATAAATAAAGAACACAGTATGGACATTTACAAAATATTAAACAAAGTAGTAACTTTAATATTTCATCTCTGTGACAAGACCTTGCTTTTTTTCCTGACAAGTGACTACATTTTAAACAAACACACACACACACAGTTTTTACTCAAATTGACAGTGACTAGAAAAATACTCTCTTTGCCATCATGGCAAGGTGTCACTTAAAACTTGAATGTCAGGTTCTTGTAACGCATAATTCAAAGAGGTATTTCTGATGTCATGCTGCAGGATTATAAGAAAGTATATTGCTTGCTCAGAAAAAAAGGAAATAAACAGATCAACTCCACCCTGGAGGCAGAGGGAAATGAAAATAATTAGGGTAGGAAAAATTTTTTTTGGGGGAAAGAATAAATTAAAGAAGGTATCTACAGCCTCTATGGATGAACTACTTCTATAAGGAAAGAAATAATCCCCAACTGATACTCTCTTCTCCCATAACAAAAGAAAACCATATCAGAAACCCCAAAACGTGTTTAAGGTATGCCCACTCCAGGACAGGTCATTGCTCACTAACTCTTGGGTTAAACACTCATGGTAGATGGAGCTGCTTATGATGTTAAGTCAGTGGAGTTACATCAGCAGACACACCATGAAGAAAGGTATCAAAGCACAACAGCACTGGCCATTCCAGTTCCTAGTTTACAGGGATGCATTTATCTCCAGTGCTATTTCAGAGGATTGTAACTTTCCTGGCATTTCTCTCCATATATTTCAGTACACCACTTTGCGACTGCTATTTGGAAAACCAGATTTAGGCTCCAAAAGCCATGCTTAAACTTCTACTCTTATCCTATATTTCATTAGGCAAATGGGACAAACAAAGTGGGCAAGATGAAAGCTCCTACAAGCATGCTGACAGGCCTTGTTTGGCAGACATGAACTGGTCCTGCTTGTGCTCCAAGGAAACAGGTTTGCTCTCAGTGGACACAAAGCAGTGTGCCTGAATTAGCGTGACAGAGCCAAATTTTGTATTTTCAGCCCCTCACCCTAAAAACATAGGCAGAGTAAGCCATGTCATTGACCAAAAGGTCAGGTAGGCATTTGATATAATTTATTGGGGTAAGGAATAAATTTTTCTTTACTGGACAAATCTCCTTCAGATCACAGAAAGCATGTATATTACTCCCAGAGTGAATGTATCCCACTGATTTATACTATTAGATGACCTCCACAAAAAAATATAGGTACGACAGTGGCCCCAGTAACAAAACCTGCCTTTTGAAACTCAATTCTTAGTTCCCTCCTTTAATCCTTACTATTAGCCAAAGTGGACACAATCTTTTGCACAGTGAAGTCTATGCTGTGCTAATAAAGCAGAGTGCCTCACCCTATTTATACCAGGTTACCTGAGGGCTTAAAGCAACATCAATGCATACAGAAAATATGTACATTGCATTTTCAGAGTAGTTTCTGCTAAAATGCACACTACTTGTTAGCTTCCTTTGACGACTGCAGAACCAGAATATAGGAGAATGAGCTGGATTCTCCTCAAATGTTAACAATTAATAAGTTATTTAACAAGTTCCAAACACACCTGTGTAAATTTATTGAAAACAATAGCATTGCAAATGAAGTAATCTAGAAAGATTAATGGGTAGGTACTGCTTAAACTGAGGATGTAATTTTTGATCAGTAGAGCTTTTGGTCAGTAGAGCCTTTCGAAACTGGTGCTGACGTACAGGAAAGGAGCTCCACTTTCCTTTAAGATTTCACGTTCAACCATTGGCATTTAAAAGAACTACTTCAAGTTGGAGAACATTTGACTGTGAAAGTAATTTGGAGACAAAATACAGTACTGAAAATATACTCTACAGGTGGCACGGTAGACTCCTTTTCAAAGTATAGGCTGCAGTAAAGATGAATTGAGTGTTATTTAGGAGTGACAACAATATAATTTAGCTGCTATTAATCATTAAAGTGGGAGAAATAGAGAAAATGAATACAGAAGCCCACATGAAACTACTTAAGAATTTTGTCCCAGGTGTCTGAAAAGTAATCAATAAAGTATATATTGAAAACATTTTGGGGCAAATGATGAAGACAATTTTTATCTTAGCCAAATACAAAGTTGAAAAAAAAGCCCAGTTTATTCTCTTGGCAGTACATACTGGATACTCTTGGAAGAAATTTCGCTAAAACATAAGGAAGAAAATACTTTGCCTTTTAATAGGAGTCTGAAGGTAACTTGTTTTACAGGTTTTTATAAATTTTTCTTCACATGGCAGCATTGGAGCAAATGAGTATCTACCATCTTTGTAAGCCCAATTAAGACTGAAATAATTGCTACATGACATCTATGAATTTAATCAAGGTGAAATTCTCTCTGTGCTATTTGATTTAAAACAGAAATTTAAATGTATAATAAAACAGGAAATATACATCCTGCCTAATTGTTGCTGGAGCTTTTCACCAGAAGATGTCCTTAGTTATAATAATGACAAAGTACTTTTTAGCAGATAAAAAATTCACACCTGAGAGAATTAATAAAGGAGTCAAAGTACCAAAAAATCAATAATGCTTTATTAACATATGCTTCAGAGAGAGAATACAGAAGGAAAACCGTAAATAACTGCATCTGAATAAATAACATTCCCCAAAATATTCCCAAAGAAAATTGGTACCCAAAAGTGAAGCAGACAGAACAGTAAAGCAGTATGCAGAATGGCAGCACTGTAAGGAAATTGTCAGAAATTGTTTTCTGCCCCCAGCACTGTCAGCCTCTATCTCAGTTCCAGAGAGATAAAAGATCATGCAATTTCAGAAAGACGTAAGTGGGGAAAAGATTTCTTTTTTAATCCCCAGACCATCTCTCAGATTTGCTCTCAAACATGGAAATAAAGAACCTGGACCACTTGCTAACAGGGCAGACCTTGCTTTGATTCCTTCTTAATTTTCAAGCATTTAGAAATTAATTGACTTTTCTTTGTATTCATTTTGGCATGTGTTCATTAGCTATATTAATTTCTTAGCTTAGCGTTTCATATACAGTGTTATCTTTGGCAGAAAATGAAAGATGTATGAACAATTTAAACACTGAACACTGATGTGAAGATGGATTGGCTCATTACAAACTGATTTCCTCTCATCAAACCATGTGGGTGAAGGATGAAGAAAAAAAATGCAAAAACATGGTAGTCAACGTGGTGACATACTAAATCATCTTCCAATCATTCTCAATAACTCTACAACTACAGCATGCTATCCTGATGGCCCCATCTGAGTTGATGATTTTTCACAATGTATTTCATGGCTTCCATCCCTACATGAGACTTTATTACTATCACATAGGAATAAAAAGCCATAAAACACTAGAGTGAATTTATCTTGATCAGATGCAATACTTATTTTCTTCACATGATTTCACCACCATTCCAAAACTAACCAATGATTTCATGCTACATTACTGAACATTTTAAACTACATTTCAATGACAAGAAAGACACTGAAATAGTTACATCACAAATTAACAGAGCTTTAGCCTTTAAACACATTCCTACCTACGAGAATCAAGAAACAATCACAAGACACAACCATTTAATTCACTGATAAAAGACAGGACACCACAGAAAAATATCACTTCCACATACATCTTTCAACACATAAGGAAAGACAAGAGACACAAAAGAAACTGGTATAGATTAAAGCTATGAAAGCACCACTACCAGCATCTTTTTAGAACTATTTTCCCTAGTAGCTTCCTGGCATGCGTTATAAGAAATTCAGACTCCATCACTAAGACATCTTTAAGTCATCTGACCTTAATTGGAGAAACAAAGCAAAATTCCCTGCTTATGGCACTGAAACAGCTACTACCACAGAGCTGCTAGCTAATATGACTCACTCATCCCTAGGACTTCTACCTTCTTGGCTACGATGAATTTACTATAGCTCCAAAGTCCATGTTTCTCCTGATGAAAGACCAAATGAGACAAATTATAATATACCCTTATTTTCTAAACCAGACTATAATACTGAGGTCCTGGTCTGAAAACAGTTATTTATTAATGTTATTACTATTCATCTTCTTATTACTACTAATTGGCCACAAGTCTCTAGGGTCATTGAAAAGTCAATACAATAATTTAACTACCATTTGAAAATAATTTTTCTTGTATACTTGCAAGCAAACTAAACTGTATCAGAAATGTCTTGTTAAGCTAAAAGTCTCTGCTTTACCAAAAGTATTTTACATTTTCCCAGCCATGTAACCCCACTGGCATGGTACCAATATTATGTCTGACCTACTCTTGACACTAGAGCTAAAAATTAACTCAGGTTTGATTTATATACTGCTATCCTTTCTTGCCTACCAAATCCTATTTCTTGCATAATATAATGTTGATAGCATAGAAAAGAGCAAGAAATCATTAAATGAAAGGAAGTGCATAAATAAATTCAATTATCATGCATAAAACATGCAAATGATTTAAAGACTGCATATGAAACTCTAGTTTATATTCATTAGTCTCAGGTTGCACTTTTGAGGGAGAAAGAGACACTAATCGGGTCCAGATTAATGCACTCCCAAACCTTCCAATTTGTTTTTAGGTGAGGGTTAAATGAGATATATTAATATAAACACAGCTGCTCATCTTCCCCAACCATGTTTCATTTGTGGAAGAAGATGAAAACTAAAAAGTATATTGGAGGCTTGGTGTACTGAGAATTTGAGCTTTTCCTCTGCTCCACAGGACTGCCACTTACCCACTGCAGTGTACTTTTTTTTTTTTTTTCTTTTTTGGCTATGAATATAACTTTGCTGGAAACTAGTCCAAAACCCCAAAAAACAAGCTAGTCACTTGAGATGGAGAGCAAGCAGGGAGTGTTTGGGCTTGCCTAAATCCTGCCCTGTTATCCTCCCTTCCCTACCTTGAATGATGCTGCAGATGAATCATTTAAACTGAGTGCAGTCACTGCTAAAAGGGGCTCAGTCTGAAGCTGGCATGTTGCTGCTGCGTGGCTCTCTTAGGTGGGAAACAAGGATTCACAGGAGGACTTGAGCAGCTTGGCTTTGCTCACCCAGCCAGCAGAAACATGATACATATCGGGGGCAAACCCCTTTGACCCACCACCTGCTCCAGGTTTTGTTGCCCAGGGATTCCCCCCAGCCTCCACTGGGCATAAAAATAGTGGTCCCCCAGCTCCCCCCTTCCCTCTCCCACTGGAGCTGAGTGCTGGTCCCTGCTGCTTACTGTGCCCAGGGGACAAGCCACTAAGGACAAGACCAGCGCCCACAACAGTGGATTAAGGGGAAGCAGCATTCCTGGGACCGATTCTGCCCCAGGAGAAAGGGAAGCACGTGGGAAGGAAAATAGGTTTTTGGCTCAGAAATAAAAAAGAAGGGAAGGGCCCATTCCTGTGCACTGGCGGAGGAAGGTTAAATAAAGCAAACAAAAAAAGGTCACCAAACTAATTTTGTACAGAAACCAATGAATTTGGATGAGAGGCCCAAAGGGGAAAGGTTAGGGTGTTATCTGTGACATAATTTCTCTTCCCTTTTGTTAAAATGATTGGAAACTAAATCCCTCCAACACAATAGGACACATTTTCTGCCAGGTGGGAAGCATTCAAAATCTTACATTTCTCTGGTTATTTTTTAAATGTTATTCTCCTGAACTACAGACATTACACCATGAAAGCACAAAAACACATACATGTACACTCAAACATATATTCACATATATGGTTTCAGACACAGACTCACTTCTGCTGACAGCCTGACTCTGAGAGCTTTTTATTAGAATTAATTTCTGCACGTTTGCAGATGTTAAATTAGTTGCAATAAATAACAACAATAAGGCTGAAATCTGTCAACATCTTGACAAATATTCAGAGAGCCATTTAGTTAGGAAATATGCTTATGATATTCATTGCTCCTAAAAGAGAAAATGATTATACAGTAACTAAACCCTAAGTAAGAGCTAAAGATATTCACCTCATGAAGCCATTTCTCAACTAGCCCCTTGGCACTTGCTGGAATTATTCGCAGCACGAGCTCTACTTTTTCATTTTCTGCTGACTCCATGTGGGTAATTTCTTTCTCATGATTAAAAGTGAGCTTGGCAATTCCTTCAAAGCATTTCCTTAGGTGTGGTTGGATGTGGAGTGGATCCTTTGTCTCAAAAAGGGTTCCTGAGAGATCACTGCTGCATCAAGAGAAAAAACCCAAAAAAAGATAAAAAATGAACTTTAGAGGTATTTATATAAACATATTTTACACCAACACCAACAGCAGACAGATGAAATGGACTGTTTACCTTGGAAAGAATAGTCTTTTCTTCGCCAAATAATCATTCAAGGCCTTCCTGAATGTCATCCAAAAGCGATTCTGCCTCCTTCAACTTATCCAGCATCTGGGGCTGCAAGATAACCCTCATGGCATTGGTCTCCTTCACTGACTCCTTCGTTATTAGCCTCCTGGTGGGTGAGATAGAATACAGTGAATGTAATAACCATACTTCACACAACAGGCTCGCTCTCTCTCTTTTAAATTGAAAATCCCCTTATTACAAAACAAGGGGTGTTCTTTTTCTTCTACCTTTAAGTAGGACTGCCACATTCATTGCTTTTTACAAAAACGCAGCTGCTTTTTAAGCTACAGATAAATAGAATCTGCTAGGCGGTAATTCTGCTCAGTCTGAATGCATTATTTTCTAAGTCACTTTGGTGAGGGACTTTTTATTATAAACTGGAATGAACAAGGAAAGTCCTTTTCTCAACTAATTATGACTACACTTTGCTCTATACTATTAACTTACAATGCCAGATTGATCAGCTTTTTTTTTTTTTCTTCAGCCAGTTCAATAAATTAACATTTTTTTTTCTGCAGAATTAGATCTAATTATTAAGACTTTATAGACTAATGATGAAAATATAAATGACAGAACAATACAGAATAGTGTATCAATAACATTCACACAATCCCTTTGATGTGCACAATGCAATCTCATATTTTAACACAATCGATGCATGGATGGGAGCTACTTTGAGTCAATCTATAGAATTTTATTCTCATAAAGATTTGTTAAACTGGATATTTTCTAAGAACTGAGGAAAAAGAGCAAAGCTGAAACATCATTTTTCATATACACCCTGGCACCCATTTTGTTTTCCTATTGCTGGACTTTCCATTTATAAAAATCAGGAATGACAGAATAGAAGGCAAAGCTACAAAGACATTAAACCAGACAAGCATCAGGACTTCTTTTGTTACTTTTCCCACTATAAGACATAATGCAGTATGTTTTATTTGAAAATAGTTGTGTTTATTTTTATTTTCTTTAATCAGCTACTTTCAAGAATGGCTTAGTTTGCAAAGAAGAGTTTGTTATTCCCCAGTAATATCAAAAACTATAATATAGTTCTGAGGTTTAAGGACTTTCAGTGATCCAGAACGCTTGGCTTTGACAAAGGAAAAGATATTTAACTATATTCCAAGTAGACAGTAACACATTTAGCTCAATTGTTGTCCATAGCTTGTAACTACTGGTACACAACCACTCCAATAAATGAAATGTAAACATTTAGGTATCACTATATAGTTCCTTTTATGCAACATCTACTGTAATGAACTGAATTTAAATAAATAAATAAGAAAAATCCTTTCTCCTTATTAGTTCAAATTCACTTTCAATACTTAGGAGTTGAAAACCATCAGTATGGTAGAAAGAACTGTCGACAGAACTGCTTCTGTCCAGCATTCAGGATTACAAATTAGAAAGAACCCTGGAAACAGGAACTTGCTCAGTGAAAGAAAACTCACACTGTCACCATCGTAATAACCTGCTTGCATTCAAAATCATTCCATCCCTATGTATTTCTGCCTGAAATACTATGACGGGGGATTTATTACACACCTTTCAAGCACTTTAAGAAGATATATATCTACAGCCAACAACAGCTTCATTGCTTTGAGATGCTAAAACTTGCTACTTCCATAAGGCATTTCTCAGTCCTCTGATACACTTGGCAAGATATGGACCCTTTTGGGTTGCTGGTCTCCATATCTAGGGGCCAACCTGGATGTTAGAGAGCCAGGAAAACCCTAATTCATGTAGAATTAAGAACAGCAACACTGTTCTACTAAGACGTAACTCTACATATATCAGTGGAGCTTCCAAGATGTGAGAATAAATGAACACATCCACACAAATATCCACTTAACTGACTACACTTTATTTTAGTACCAAGCTGTGTGTTTGTGTACACTCAAAATATGTCCCTGTATCTCTGAAACAAGGGCACTATCTAGCATACTGCCAATTTAGGTATGTTATCTTTTTGTACTAAAATAAATGAATTATGAAATGCTTATTCCTGCTTGCTTAAAAATATATCTGCATCTGCCCATTTAGGAACACTTGGTTTTGCAGTGCGACAGCAAGGACACTAAAGAAAGAAGTGTGAATGTGAGAAGGCTTGACAGTGTGGGGTACTGTTTTCCCTAAAATAATTTCAGAATTGAAGATATTCTCAATAATTTTGTGGCCAACTTCCAGGCATATGACTAGCCTTCAGATTCTTGAGTATTCCACTTTTAACATTTCTAATATCAATGGAGCACAATATATTTTAATTAAAAATTAACCTATTTTATTTTATCTGAATCAATTAAAGACAATTAAAGTCAGATTGCACACTGTGCTCATCCTCTGCTGAGTACTAACTGACAGCTTTTTACAGAATCCAAGGTTATGGTGCTAAATGATTAAGTGACTTGACAAATATTACAGCTCTACTAGAGGCCCATTTACAGACAGGGACAAGATCTATAAACTCCCAGTTCTATACTTTAACCATTTGACCATGTTTCCCTACACTTCAGAAGGCAGAATCAAAATGAAGATGAACTCAGAAAAAAAGAAAAAAAAACCCCAAACATCACATATCTTTACCTACCCTCTTTGTAACCACTGCTTTCCCTTGTAACTATATGTAAGTTAGCTGCATATGTCTTCCAATATATTTCTTGCATGATTAAAAGCAACTGTTTTACAAGTGCTTTTTGACATGCATGTACTTTCAATATTCTGCAGGTCATTCAATAGCATATCAGATATTACTAAACACAGACTTAATACTCTGGGGAAGCAACAGCAGCAAAGGCCGATATTTATGACTTTCCTCTGCCTGAAATGAAACAAACCTCTAGGTCCCTAGGTCCTAACCCTATGGAGAGTAAGTTAACAGCCAAGAGCTCACCATTTCTTATTGATAGCTCTCCTTGTGCTGTCCTGGAGTTACTTGTGAAAGAGAACATGAAGTCACTGCTCCATAATACCCTGTGTAAGTCACAAAAATGAAAACAGATATCCAAATGAGTTGAGAAGGAAGTATTTTCTCCTACATATAAAAATATTTGACATCAAAATACACTAGTAAATATTTTGCTAAAAATGTTCTTTACCTGTTTCTAGTTTTACTTCATTGAGTACAATGAGAAACAAATCATGCACAAGCGCTTGTTTGCCTTTCTCACTTGAATGATTCACTAACTTACTGTGAGGCTGTGTCTCTATTGTATCCAAGCTCACATCATAAAAACTAAACAGAAATCAATTTAAGACAATGAACTTTAAACTTTACTTCCCCTTCGGTATTCTAAAGTGGCATGGCCAAGTTGGGAAAGTTTTAAATAATGAAACTCAGTGAAGCCTAAATCACATACAATAGTGAAAGCTGAGATGGGAGATGGAGATGAAATCTGAAAGCTAATTAAATTCAACAAGAGCCTCTCAAAGGCAACATACCAGCTTAGCCTCCCATGCTAATATTTCGTTTTGAAGGGTGCAGTAAATGGAGGGCCTTTCATGGCTGCAGATTTCACAATGTGATCCACCAGCTAAACCTGAGAGGAGAGAAAAAAAAAAAATATTAGATGCATGGATTACTGTACTGAATAGATGCCAAGACCAAGATAAAAAGAATAGATAAGTTAGGGCTTCTGAGGAGCTAAATTTGAAGCCAACCAGCAAAACGGATTGAACCTTATTACCTCTAGTCACTGAGAAATTCCCTAGACAGTTGGATGCAATTTGAAAAGGTCAGAAAAAAATTTCCTTCACCGTATTATTGCTTCATGGTTTAAGGGTGTACGTTTGTGAGATGCCAGGCCTAATAATTTTTATTGACTTGCTCTAGAGAGACAGACAGATGCACAGGGAGGCAAGACAGATGGATAAGTCATATTCTACCTTTGTTTCCAGTCCGAAAGATATCACAATATTAGGTATGTTTTAATGTTAATCATTTCAGTTTATTCTTTGCCATCTCTGAGAAGAATGTGCCTTGTTTCTTTAAGTCAGCCACAAAAGGGGAATAAAACCCTGTGCATATCACTGGAAACCTACTACAATTTTTCCATATTTGATCTGAGCGTTCATTGAATTCCATGTGAATCTGAAATATATAACTGAAATTCAGTATGTGTAATAGGATTTACTAGACAATTTTAGGTATGGTCAGTTGATTTTTCTTTTCACTTAAAGGATAGCAGTTCTCACTGAACAGATTATGAGAATGAACTTCAACATACTGACAGTACAAGCTTTGTTATCAGTGTGGCTGTCCTGGAAAGAAAAAAAAAAAAAAAAAAAAACAAAAACAACAAACAAACAAACAAACAAACAAAAAAAAAAAAAAAACAAAAAAAAACAACCCACAAAAAGCAAAACCCCAAACATACTACAATTAAAAGCATTTAATTCTTTGGCTTAGCATACACAGATGCTTGTAATCAAATATGAACATTTGCTAACATTACACTTACAGTCAATTTTTTTGTCATGCAATTAAAATCAAAGGAGATTTAACAACACAAAAGCGGAATTATCCACCCCAACCCCTGGAAAAGTTTAATTAACATTAGATTTTCTTTTGCTCAGAAGACATTTGTCTTCCATTCATAATACAAACATTGGTATTCACTGTATCCTGGCTCTGAATGCACTGCAGAAGCAATTTTAATGGCCATTAAAGTCCAGCTCTGTGAGTTCTACTGTATTGTTTATGAAGCCTGTCTGAAAGCTGACTAAAACTGTTTCCACTTGGATAAGAAAGCCATTTCCATATGGTCATGTTCCTTCCCTTCAGGTCCCGTACATTCTGAGAGTAACAAGAAATTGCAGCAGAAGAGTTGCATGTATATTCACTCCTCCAGAACTTTATAGCTCTGAAAGGAAATCAGAAAGGCTTATCTGTAGTGAGGAACAAAAAGCATGGGGAATTGTTCCGCTAATGGCAGCTGATACTTTCAATAGAAATGGAACTGTTCCTCAACAGAAAAGATACATGGATCATTTAAACATAACACTTTCTTCAACAATTTAGGAAGCTTTCAAAAGATGTGCATCTGCATATACAGAAAGGGGGCTGGGGAGAAATAATCACATACTTGATTTATAACAATTGATTTAGACTCTACTACTCTTTTTTTTTAATCAGACTCCCACTGTCAGCTTCGGGATGATGCTGAATATGAATTTATTTTTTTTAAGATTGCAGATATTTAACTACAAAGGAACCCTCCGGTTTCTGTGGTGACATGACAACAGTGTGATTTTTATTCCTCTAACTTTTTTCCAACAGGAGTGATAGAGAAATTAAGTTCTGTCATCCTCCTGATCTAAGCTCAGAGATGAACTTAGGAATCCTGTGAATATTTTTACTATGAAAAAACCCTTATTCATCATGAAAACAGGGAGTGTTCAAGACACAAACATTTAATGTCACACTCATTTTTCCAAATTATATTCCTCCAACATATTTTGGTGCCATTTACAACACAGTAATGTGATGCCACCTCATTCCATCTTTGCAGGACCCTCACTTCTTTTGTTGCTTTTCTTTTTTTTCCGTCTCTCCAAGAGCAGCACGTGTTAATAGGCAAGTAACTTAAATCCTGATTCATCGTACCAGATGTAGAAGGGAAGGATAGCAAGAGTGACAACACTTCTATTGCACTGCTAGTAGAATCCACTGTCTGAAGGGTCTGAGTAACACCGGTAAGGACACACTGGCTTGGCTTTAGATTCAACAGCTCTAGTTCCAATGGGAAAAGAGATTCTGCCTTTTGGTGGTTTTCTTCTCTTGTTGAACATTTCTTAACAGTGGCATGGGACATTTTATCTAGCTTCTTGGAAGTGATGCTGCATGATCTTGCATACTGTCCCCTCTGTCAAATCAGCCAGGATTTAAAGACCACTTAAAGAATGGAAAGACTGCCTTTAAGATTTTCAGTATGACATCCTTCTCACTCTATCTGAGCCAACAAACATGTGTGAGAAACCGGGACATTGATAAGACAACCAGCTCATGATGCTCTATCCAGAGAGAGCCAAGCTGATCCTATCTAACCCTCACACATTGGTGACAACACTCTCCCCCTTTTTATAAGACTGTTTGCCTCCCATCTGTGGCTTTTATTTGCCATGCTGGTGGTAAAATTACACAAAATTCAAATTATTGCTACTTCACACTGTAACAATAAGGTTAGTTAACCACTGAAACAGATTGCTCAGAAAGGTGAGAAATTTGCAGTTACTTCTAATCAAGGTCTATTTTTAAACAATATTCTCACAGTTTAACCATGAGTTGTTTGGTTAGGTGCAGAAATCACACTTTTTCCCAGCCTTTAAATCTATAGGGTTGTGACCCAAGCTGAATGCCAGTTGGTGTAATAGGATTGCACCACAGCAGTGATCTGGTGGGGTTTTGCTATTTTTGTCCTTCTGTTTGTGACCAGGAGACTGCAACTTTTATAAATATTAAATTTGGAAATAAAGACCTCGCATTCGTGTGTTCCAACAATGACAGAAATTGTAGCTGCCTTTGTCTTGTGAACATTGGATTACTGAAACCTGTTCATCATGTGATTTTAATTGTAGCAAATCAAAAAATGGGAAACCACACAGTAAATTGTGTTTTTTTTTTTATTGGGAGCATGTACCCCTGCACCCCTCTTCTTAAAAGAAAAATACAACCAACAACAAAAAACTGACTATAGAGCGTGTCCCAGACACAGTCCTAGTTTTAAATGAGCTCCAACAACAACTTCAACTTGCAGTAGGTCATGTTGTTCACCTATACAGCGTACACAAAAGAATTATGTAACTATTTTACAGATAAGGAGGAAAGGCTTGAAAGATGGATATGAACATCATTACTAAGATTAACTCCACTAAGCAGAGTGAGCTGGTAGCTACCAGCTTTATTACCTTCAAGTACTCCAACAGGTCTTCTCCTTTATGAATAGACTAGCTAGTGGAAAAGACAGATGATTTTTTTTTTAAGTTCAGTATAGAAAGGTTCTCAAAGTACAGAAAATATTCCAGCTTCTTACATCATAGTGGGGCAGCTAACCCCATTTTGCATTCTTCAGAATATGCCTGAATATCAATGATCTTAAAAGTCTTTTCCAAACTAAACGACTCTATGATTCTATGTCAGTTAAACATTTACTAACCATTTGCTCTGTCTTAAAAGCCACTCTGTGATGTGCATAATTTGAAGCTGTCATTTTTTGCTATATGGAAGAATTAAAGCACTGTCAAAAAAGGCTGTAGTACAACTATTAGACGTAATGTTTATGTCTTGAATACCAACCCATTCTTAAAATAAATTAGAGCTTCTTGAAGGCATAAAGAAAAAATCCCCAATTTGTGGATTTGCTATACATAAAGGTCCATCTCGCCAAATTCTCTCATGAACACTGATTCAGCTCCCAGCTCTAATACCATTAAAATTAACTTCCAACAAATTAGGTTTCAGAACAATGAAATGCAATTAAAATACTGTATGTACTGCAACAGAAACAGGTAACATTTTATGCATGTTTAGTGAGAAGAAAGAAAGAGAAAATGTTTTCTTGTTACTAAAGCACTAATGATGGGATCTCTAAAAATATATACAGGTACAGGTAGAATTTATAACCAATTTTTTCTTTCAGCATTTCAACTAGCAATTCAGTGTTGGTTGATCACATGGAGAATGCAAACCTGAATATTTGCATCATCAACAGTTGCTAACACATGAATTCTTCTGTCTCTCCAAGATGAAAATAAATATATCTTTCCAATCAGTGGTAGCTTTAAAAGCATTCTCTGAAACACAGTCCTTAGTGATTTGGGCATTTCACTTTGAACTTTAAGCCTTTCACTTATTTTTAAAGAGTAATACTCAAATCAACAGCCAGAAAGAATCTTTCTTCAGTGTATTGTTGAATCCTCTTCAAGTTTCATGCACTATAAATAATTATTTAACAACATTGAATCTCAATTTTTGTACATTTTTTTTTTTGTTATTAGAACTGATTTTGGAAATCAGAACATATGGGTGAGTAAACTGCTTGGCTGGCCTACAGAAGTATAATGGAAATGCAGCCAAGGTTCTCCACATGCTGTTCGTCATCTCACCAAGCAAAATAAAGTTCATATAAAGCAACACGGACACCACAGTTTCTTTTTCAGATTTTGTATTGCTAAAAGATATGTATCTTTTTTAGGCCTCAGACTTTACTCTGAGTGAAATTCACCCTCTGTGGATTCTACTCCAAAAATTTAACTCTAAAATCATTTAAATCTAGTAGCCATGGTAAGACAACATCTTTTTAAGGCCGGGCTTTCTTTAATGTCTACTGTTAATTTAGGTGTTTGACCATTTCTTTAACACAGATTTGGTGAACTGCTTTTGGCTTTCTGAGCTGACAGAGCACTGACCCCTCTCCAGCTACATCAAAGCTAGACAGCAGTAATACACACTTTCTTTTTGTTGGGTTATCTTTTTTGTCAGGTGAAACCAACCTTTCAATTATGTAATATGTGTATATAAATATTTATGCATCTATAAATA